CAGCTCAAGGCTAGCGCTCTACCACTTGAGCCACAGTGCCACTTCCGGCATTTTTTCTTTTTGCTTATGTGGTGCTGAGGAATCGAACCCAGGGCTTCATGTATGCAAGGCAAGTGTTCTACCACTGAGCCACCTTCCCAGCTCTTGAGTTGATTTTTATAGTGAAATAAAGGTGTTAAGTTTCAATATTCCACAAGTGAGTATCCAGTTTTCCAAGCTCTATTCATTGAAAAGGCTGCTCTTTCACCAAGTTATCTTTTTGGCACCTTAATCAAGAAATCAGTTGGCTATAGATTCACAATTTATTTCTAGGTCCTCTATTCTGTTCCATTTTCAATGTCTGTTTTTATTCCAGTATTTTGTTACTATGGCTCTGTTTTGAAATCAGGTATTATGATACTTTCATGTAAACTTTAGGATTTCTTTGAAAAATATTTATATTCTGATGAGGATTGTATTGAAACTATAGGTTGATTTGGATAATGTAGTCATTTTAACAATATTCTATCTAAGAACATGGAAAATTTCCCACCTGTCTTTTTATTTTCTGTTATTATAAAGGTGATGTACAGAGGGGTTACAGTTACATAAGTTGGGTAATAAGTACATTTCTTTTTAGACAATGTCATCCCTTCCCTTGTTTGCTCACTAGGTCTCTGTTTTCCCCTCCCATCCCACAAGTTGTATAGTTCATTTTCACCATACTGTTCCAGTGAATACCATTGCTACATTTGTTCACCCTATGTCCTTCCATTACCCACCTGTCTTTTCAATGCTTGAATGTTTTGCAATTTTTATTGTAGAGATCTTTCATTTTCTTAGATTTATTCATAGGTATTTCATTTTTCATGCATGTGGCAGTTATGACTAGGATGACTGATTTCCTTCTCTAATTTTATATAGGTCTTCCCTTTCTGTACCTTGGTTAGTCTAGGTAGATGTTCATTAATGTTTTCAAAAATAAGACTCTTTTATTGCTCCTTTGTATTTTTTTCAGTCTTTTAGTCTACTCTGATCTTTAATTTCCATCTACTTATTTTGGATGTGTTCTTTTCTAAGTCTTTGATATACATAATTAGGTAATTTGAGGTTTCTAAAGGTATTGCCATTCAACAAAGTTTATGAATATATGCCTCTTGATTAATGTCACCCTTCAACAGTCTCACTATCTCTCCCAACCCACCCCTCTAAGGGTTAATTTTTTATTTTTATTGTCCATCCTGGGGCTTGAACTCGGGGCCTACGCACTGTCCCTGAGCCTCTTTGTGTTCAAGGCTAGTGCTCTACCGCTTGAGCCACAATGCCACTTCTGGCTTTTTCTGAGTAGTTTATTGGAGATAAGAGTCTCACAGACCTTTTTGCCCGGGCTGGCTTCGAACCACAATTCTCAGGTCTCAGCCTACTGAATAGCTAGGATTACAGGCGTGAGCCACCAGTGCCCAGTTGTTTTTTAATATAGGCTCTTAGTGCTATACATAGTATTAATTTTTGCTATATCCTATAGGTTTTCCATTTTCATTTGATTCAAGTATTTTAACTTCCCCTTTGACTTATTCAGTGACCCACTGTGAAAATTATGTTGTTCTTACTCCATGTGCATCTAAACTTTTTACTTTTTCTTGATTTCTAGTTCCATTCCATTGTGATCACAGAAGATATATTTTGGTGGACTAATATATACTCTGTTCTAGTTCCATGTCCTGATCCACTTGATCTCTAGTGAAAGTTAACTTTGATTTTGTTGTTGGCTATTTTGTCTGGATGTTCTTACAGTAAGAGAGTAATATTGAGACTCCTTACAATTGGAACTTATCCTTCCCTTTAGGTCTAGTAAGCAATATTTGTCTTATAAAATTGAGTTCCAAGCTGGGTGCTGGTGGCTCATGCTATACTCCTAGCTACTTAGGAGGCTGAGATCTGAGGATCACAGTTCTAAGCCAGTCCAAGCAGGAAAGAGTGAGATTCTTACCTCCAATAACTACCAAAAATAGCTGGAAGTGGAGCTGTGGTTCAAGTGGCAAAGTGCTAGCCTTGAGCAAAAAAGCTCCTGGACAACACTCAGGCCCTGTCCCAGGACAGGTGCACACAAAAAATCAAAAAAATAAACAATCTTCTAAAGTTCTCTTTGTAAAAATCAGAGAATGACTTTTTATACTCTCATTTAGCTTTTTTGCTCATGGCTGGTACTCTACCATTTGAGCCACACCTCTACTTTTGGCTTTTTGGAGATAGAGTCTCACAGACTTTTCTGACCAGGCTGGCTTGAAACTCAGTTCTCAGATCTCAGCCTCCTAGTAGCAAGAATTAAAAGCATGAGCCAATGTAAAATACTATAACCTGCTTTCTGAAATAATACTGACCATGCTGCTTTTTTCCAGATGGCTGAGAAGCCACATTTAAGCCATATACCTCAGCAACATGGGAGCGAGGGTGGGGAGGGGAGCCTTTTATTTATGAAACCATTTGTTGAATGATCTTCAAGAGTTGTCTTTAGGGCAAAATCCACTTTTACAGACCATTGTGGAAACACATTCAAGAGAGTATATGTCATATACAGTTAGACACTTTGCCTAGACATCAATAACCCCTAAGAATTGTCACGTATGTACGTGAAAGGATATAATACTGTTTTCCTTTCTTCTCACCAAAGATTTGCACAGTTTCGCATTGTTCTTGGAGATTTTAATTTTGCTGGTATCCAGCAAGCCAATCGGATTTTGGGACCTATTTACTTCATCACCTTCATCTTTTTTGTGTTCTTTGTCCTGCTGGTAAGGATGACCATACATTCTACCACTTACCTATCCTCTTTTTGTATAGCTTTCTTTTTTTTTAGAACAATGAAATTATTCATGTAGAAGAAATTGTATTACTGCTTACTTAAGAGAACACTTGACATTTATTAAGAATAGTGCCAGCCAGACACATGGCTTCACACCTTTAATCCTATTTGCTCTTGGGATGGACATTGGATATCCAAGGTGTCCAAGGTCAGCCCAGGGAACTCAACCAATAAGAACTAGGTGTGGTGCTGCAGGCTAGCTAGCTATGTGGAGGCTTAACAAGGATTGCCATCTAGGTCAGCTTGGCAATAAATGCAAGACCCTATTCAAAAAATAACCAAAGCAAAAACGGCTGAGGGAACAGTAAAGTGCCTGCCTAGCAAGTACAAGGTTCTGAGTTCAAATCCCAGTACTACTGATGTGATTCCTAGCAATCTAAGTTCTCTAGTTCAGTGACTACTGACATTTATAAACTGTCATTTGGGATATATGATCACAATAGGTGACATTTGCTTTAGCTGGAGTGTGCTTAATCCTTTACACAATTTGAATATCCCAGTTTGTCCAAACTGGGATTCTCCTTACCAATGTGTATAAAATCAGGCAATAACATTTTATCATATTTCAGTGGCTTTTGGCTACCCCTTTGTGATTTCCAGTAGTCACTAGAATACCTCTCAAGATGTGCTTGAAGCGAGTCTATTTTGGTTTCTTTATCTACGAATCTTGCCTTCCCAGTTAACTCACACCTACTGTACTTAATGAAAACATTTGTCAAGTAGGAGCTAGTGGCTCATGCTTGTAATCTTAGCTACTCAAGAGGCTGAGGATCACAGTTCAAAGCCAGCCTTGGCAGGAAAATCTGTGACTTTTATCTCTACTTAACTACCAACAGCCACAGTGAAGGTGTGGCTCAAGTGGTAAAGCACCAGCTTTAAGCAAAAACTCTAGGGCACAGAGCCCAGGCCCTGAATTCAAACCCCAGTACTAGCACAAAAAATACTTATCAAGTACAGAAGTAATAATGGCCAAGAGTCCTCTAGGTGGCAAAGTTCCAACACAGTTGAAAGTGGAGAGTTGGGTTCTAGCTAAGAATATTGTCTCCGTATCTGTATTATCTAGACATTAGTGGTTAATAAAAGACCTATTAAGATATAACTTCATAGACCTAAACAACAAAAACACCCTTATGGACATAATTACATTTTTTTCTGATATATAATACTGATAAATTAAGGTATATATAACTAGCTCATATGCTTACCATCTTTCTTATTTATAATAAACATTTGCTTGTTTCCATAAACTATACATTTTCTTATGTACATTGAATATAAATACAAATATACATTTTCCATTGTAGTTTACATATAGTCATTTTTATTATTGACTTTCCCTTTTTTTTCCATTGATACTAGGGATTGGACTAAGGGCCTTTGCTTGCTGGGCAGGTGATCTACTACTTAAAGCCATACTTCCAAACCTTTATGCTTTAGTTTTGAGTAACGTCTCACATTTATGTCCCGGCAGCCTGAATGGAAATCCTCCTATTTACACTTCTTAGTTGAGATGGCAGATGTGTGCCAATATAGACCCAGATTTATTGACTGACATGGAGACATGCCTGGACTGGCTGCAAATTGCGATTCTCCACTTCTGGAGTGGTTAGGATTCTGTGTAAGACACCAACTCTGACCATATGGATTTGCTTTTAAAATTTAAATCTCATCTTAAAATTCTTAAAATGACTTTTTAGTCATTTTTTAAAAATGTCTTGCTATGTTGTTCAATCTGGCCTCAAACTTGTAGGCTCAGGTGAGCTTCCTGACGGGGTCTCATAAGTATCTGGGAGTAATGTACTTGCTACCTTGAACAGCCTTAATTTTTTTTTTTTTGTGATGCTAGGGATCAAACCCAGATCCTTGAGTATTGTAGGCAACTGCTTTATACTTGTAGTCCTAAATTTTGTATTATAATAATTTGAATATTTCTCCCTAGAATATGTTCTTGGCAATAATTAATGATACCTATTCTGAAGTGAAAGCTGATTACTCAATAGGTAGAAGGCCAGATTTTGAGCTTGGTAAAATGCTTAAAAAGGTAAGTCAAATTATTTTCCTAATTATACTTCTAAGAAAAACTTCAGTTTGTACTTTTTTTTTCTTTTTGCCTGTTCTAGGGCTTAATGCCCCAGAACTCTGGGTCTCACTCTTCTACTTGAGTCACAGCTCTACTTCCAGATTTTTCTGATTAACTGGAGATGTGTTTCATGGACTTTCCTGCCTAGGCTGGCCTCGACCCACGATCCTCAGATCTCAGCCTCCTGAGTAGCTAGGATTACAAACCACTTATTTTATACTCTTCTGAGTGAAAGAAAACTTAAAACCACAGGTAGTGTTGTTTTTTGTTTCTGGAACCTTGTTTTTGGGTCTAGAGTTGCCTTCCACATGGTAACATCTTGACTGTTCTAACCTCTTTTGACACTACTACTCTTGGTCCTATCAATTGCCCTGAGCCTGGCAAATCAAACTCAGTCTCCTCACTCAAATATTCCAGGTCACACAGTCTCAACCACCTTTATTACTTTCCATTTAGCTTTAGTGTTTATACCTTTATTTGCAACTCTGCATGTCCTGGCTAATCTGTGTTTGAGTGTTATGCTGCTACCATCCTTGTCCTTCCTCTGTCCTCTGCTCATGACATTCCCTAATTCCTGAAATCCTCACACGGCTCTTCTTTTACTAACATATGACGAATCTGCCCTTTCCTCTTGACATCCACCTCATTTTGAGTTGCAGCAGTCTGGTGTATACTGGTCTTAACTTCCCTACCAGCTTGCTTAACTCTGAATACCCCTTGGGTCTTAGTATAGAGAAAAGGTGCAAAAAGCTTATTGTAGAGGCTTTTTTCATCTTTTCTCTTAAGTATGATGTTGGTTGTATGCATTAAAGTGGTCACAACTTTTTAAAGTTCTATAAAGATGTCTTCAACTCATAATGGGGTTACATTTTTATAAATCCATTCCAAGTTGAAAATGAATTTAGTATACCTAACTTACCAAACATTGCTTAGCCTGTGCACCTTAAATATGGTAAGAACACTAATAGGGCAAACTTGTTAAGTACAGAGTCCATTTTATAATTATGTACTGTGTCTCATGAGATTGATTCTGTATCCAAAAATACTGGCAACACAGCACACTGAGCATTAGTTGTTTCCCTTCACATGGTAGATGGACAGAGAGCCTGTGGCTCTATGGTTCACTGATGTTTAATGTAGTACATGTTGACTTAAAATATTTTAGGGGTTGGGTATAGTAGTATATGCCTGTAATCCCAGCTAGTCAGAAGGTGGAAATAGGATCTTGCTTTTTGTCTAAGCTGATAATCCAACTATGACTGCCCTATCTCACAAAACAAGCTGGAGCTAGGTTTAGTGGTAGTACACACCAGTAATCCCAGCTATGGGAGGTGGAGGTGGTGGTGTCAAGGTCAAAGGCAGGCCTGGACAAAAGAGCTTACTCTTATCTGAAAAGTAAACTAAAGTCCAGGTGCCAGTGGCTCATGCCTGTTATCCTAGCTTCTTAGGAGGCTGAGATCTGGAGTACTGTGGGCTCAAAGCTAACCTGGGCAGAAAAGTCTACACAATTCTATCCACAGGCACCAGTGGCTCATGCCTGTAATATTCAGGAAGCTGAGATCTGAGGATTACAGTTCAAAGCCAGTGTGGACAGGAAAGTCTGTGAGACTCATCTCCAATTAACTACCAGAAAACCACTTTGAGCTATGGTTTAAAGTGGTAGAGCACTAGCCTTGAGCTGAAGAGCTCAGGGATAGCTCCCAGCCCCAGAGTTCAAGCCCCATGACCAACAAAAAAAGATAAAAATTTAAAGACAGTGATTGGTAGGAACCTAACAAATGTGAGGTCTTGCATTTAAACCCATTTAAGCATTTTTAATTCAAATTGAAGCCTCATGTCCAAGAGGATCCCTTTTTTTTTTCTTAAAACTTCTGAACTGAAAAGACCATGATGACAAGGTGAAAGGATAATCATGGCATTCCACATCTGGAGCGGAGTATGTGCTGGGGCTCAGGGCCTCCTGCTCTGAGGTTTGTTTCTTTTCCGAAAGGCTCTATCACTAGAGCCATGCGTCAAATCCAAATGGATTTGGTGGATAACTGGAGATAAGTGTTTCAGATTTATCTGCCTGGGCATGTTTTGAGCCTCAATCTGTCTCTTGAGTAGTTAAGAGTTATAGGTGTGAGCCACCACAGTGCCTGGCTGCCTTATTTCTTTTGCAGTCCTTAGTGACAGATATTTACTTCGAAAATTCAATCAAAAATATATTAAAATGTTAACAATGTTTGTTTTCAATTATCCCCAGAGTTATCAGAATGCTCTTGAGAAACTCAAACTGAGGAAGTCTCAAAAAAATGAAGATAAGAACATGTAAGATGACCTTTATAATTTTATCATTGTAAAGTTCTAGAGATGTCTTCAACTCATGATGGGGTTACAAGCTGAAAATGTACACTTAACTTACCAAACACCACAGCTTAGCCTGTGTACCTTAAATATGGCCAGAACAAGATGTTAAAAGGCTGTACTAAGCCAAACTTATAATAGTCTGTTTTATAGTAATGTCCTAAATATCATGAAATTGACTTCCTATATGCAAAAAAACACTGGCAACACAGCACACTATCAGTGTTTATCTTCAGTGGACAGGGAGCTGTGGCTCATTGATGCTATTGAACATCATGAGATAGCTTACCATCTACTCTTAGCCTGGGGAAAGATCAAAATGCAAAATGTATCTACTGGGTTGTATACCACTTTTGCATCATTATAAGTAAAAATATTAGGAAAGAGAGTGAGGGTTTTGATTGCAAAACTATCAGCACCTCCTCCTCTCTGAGGAGTCACAGTAGAACACTTGCCTAACATGTATGCTTAGGCTTCATTTTTTTTAATGTATTCTCTTTAACAGTAAGTTTTTCTAAAAAGGTAGAAAACGACTTTACCTTACATTAAATACATTTATTTAGGTATCAAAATAAAAATTTTTTTACACATAATACTGTGAAAATGTGTATTTAACTTACATTTATTGAATTATCAGTGTCAAAATGCTTCCCAAACCAAAACTTCTGGCACAAAAAAAAAAAGTGGTTTTTCCTCCAGGCATAAAACATGATACTCTGGAGTATTTGTTTATCAGAACAAAAACACAATTCAGTCCTTACTATATATCTAACTATTTATGGTGGTAACTTCCCTTTTTACTTTCAAATGCAGTGGAGATTTGGCTGAACAACCTAGAAGAGAAAACTTCGACGAAAATGTAAGATTTTTTTCATAAAATACAAGTGGTTGCTAACTTAATTGAAAATCTGTTAACAGAAAGTTTAACAATAGAAGTGACTGGCTTTACTTGAGGAATAGTTATCTGTAAATCTTCCAGAATCAAGATCCCTCCCTTCTCATTTAGGACAAAGCATTTTGTTCCACATACTCTCTTCCTGCTAGTACACTGAGGCAGACCTCTGTGTCTTGCAGGTGTGCATTCATTTACGGTGGTAGTAGTGCATGGTACACTATTGGTACACTTTTCTCAAATTCATTTATTGGAGATTAACTTTTCTAATATAAAATTACTCATTACATTAATGAGTATTTTTATATTCAACAAACAAGAAACTTAAGGAAAAGAACCTCTTCCTCTTGATTCAAAAAGAAAAAACGGCCAGAAATGTGGCTTAGTGGTAGAGTGCTTGCCTAGCACTTGAAGCCTGGGTTCAATTCCTCAGTACCACATATACAAGAAAAAGCTGGAAGTGGCACTGTGGCTCAAGTGGTAGAGTGCTAGCCTTGAGCAAAAGCAGCTCAGGGACAATGCCCAGGCCAAGTTTAAACCCCAGGACTGGCAAAAAAGAAAGAAGGAAAGGGGAAAAAGGAAAGGAAAGGGTCACCCTGCAACTCGAGGGCAGTAGAATGAGGTTTCTGGATTAGAATTGAAGATGTGTTTATGTACATACACATGCATATTATTTTTGGAGGGGGTGTCAGTTATGGGGCTTGAATTCTGGGCTTGGGCACTGTCCCTCAGCTCTTCAAGGCTAGCAATCTACCACTTGAGCCACAGCACCACTTCCAGTTTTCTGGTGGTTTATTGGAGCTAAGTCTCACAAGACTTTCCCGCCTAGGCTGGCTTTGAGCCTCAGTGATCTGAGTAGCTGAGTAGCTAGGATGACAGGCATGAGCCCCAGCGCCCGCTTCATGCTTGCTTACCAAGTTTACTACCATATATATGTATTTTCTATCTCTTCCTAGAAGAAATTCAGCCTAGATACTCTGGTCTTGGTTTCTAAAAAGAACTATGGCTCCTTGGAGATCTGCCTAGTTCTGGGGCTGTAAAGCACAAAAAGAATCTGAAATAGTTTGAAGCAGAGACTGAAAGATATACTGAAGCAAATTTTTAAAAGGACCCAACTCAGTTTGGACAATCTGGAAATAATACCATGAATAAAATAGGATTTCATGAGACCATGTTGACCTAAATATACAAATGATTTAAGAGCCTTATGACAAATGAGACATTTATGTACTTTGCCACAAATATACTTATTGTAAAAAAGAAAATAAAAGCAGTAATGCTAGTAATACAATGTTCTAATAAACATCAGCATACTTAGGATTATTGGCGCTCAGCTTTAAAAGTATGTTTTAAAAGCAGTATCTTGGGCTGAGAAGGTGGCTCAGTGGTAGAGCGCTCGCCTTACATGCCTGAGGACCGGACCTGGGTTCGATTCTTCAGCACCACATAAGCAAAAAGAAAAAAGCTGGAAGTGGCGCTGTGGCTCAAGTGGTAGAGTGCTAGCCTTGAGCTGAAGAGCTGAGGGACAGC